GTGTTCTAATGGGATAGGCACGTGTTTTACTCTGGGGTTAAAGTCAATGTGTTTTGTTCTTAGTAAGTAACGTAACAAATTAAAGTCAATGTGTTTTGTTCTTAGTAAGTAATGTTACAAATTAAAGTCAATGTGTTTTGTTCTTAGTAAGTAATGTTACAAATTAAGGTCAATGTGTTTTGTTCTTAGTAAGTAACGTAACAAATTAAGGTCAATGTGTTTTGTTCTTAGTAAGTAATGTTACAAATTAAGGTCAATGTGTTTTGTTCTTAGTAAGTAATGTTACAAATGAAAGATAATGGTTTTGTTCTTAGTAAGTAATGTTACGAACGAAAAGTGGATTCGTTGTTATAAAGAATAAACATTTTCTTGAATTGTTTAAAAGTGAAGATATTGAAGTCTCTAACCTGCAGTGCCTGCATCTCTCCCTCCAGTTTTCGCTTGGCCATCGACAAAGAAGCAGAATTAGCAGACAATTCGTTCATCTGTTCATGAGAGTCAGCAAGCTCGGTTTCTGCTGAACGTCTAGCACGGTCAGCCTGGTGAGGAAATATCATACTTCATTAGTTTATAGATAAATAAAACCAATTTCAACATGAAAGTGTCATACAGAGATGATTAATGGACTTTCACTAAAATCTTTGGAGTAGAAACGTGATATTTGTCTCCCAGATGTAGCCTCACCTGTTATGAACGTGATACTTGTCTCCCAGATGAAGCCTCACCTGTTATGAACGTGATATTTGTCTCTCATATGAAGTCTCATCTGTTATGAACGTGATATTTGTCTCTCATGTGAAGCCTCATCTATTAGGAACGTGATACTTGTCTCTCATATGAAGCCTCACCTGTTAGAAACGTGATACTTGTCTCTCAGATGAAGTCTCATCTGTTATGAACGTGATACTTGTCTCTCATGTGAAGCCTCACCTGTTATGAACGTGATACTTGTCTCCCAGATGAAGTCTCACCTGTTAGGAACGTGATACTTGTCTCCCAGATGAAGCCTCACCTGTTATGAACGTGATACTTGTCTCTGAGATGAAGTCTCATCTGTTATGAACGTGATACTTGTCTCCCAGATGAAGCCTCACCTGTTATGAACGTGATATTTGTCTCTCAGATGAAGCCTCACCTGTTATGAACGTGATATTTGTCTCTCATATGAAGCCTCACCTCTTATGAACGTGATACTTGTCTCTCATATGAAGTCTCATCTGTTATGAACGTGATACTTGTCTCCCAGATGAAGCCTCATCTGTTATGAGTGTGATATTTGTCTCTCAGATGAAGCCTCACGTGTTATGTGTGTGATACTTGTCTCTCAGATGAAGCCTCACCTGTTAGGAACGTGATATTTGTCTCCCAGATGAAGCCTCACCTGTTATGAACGTGATACTTGTCTCTCATATGAAGCCTCACCTGTTATGAACGTGATATTTGTCTCTCATATGAAGTCTCACCTGTTCCAAGAGCTGTCTGCTTTCCTCCAGTTCACCATGGAGGGCGTGGCTGCGTCTTTCTGCCATGGCGTATTGTTCTCTAGCTTCGTCGCGTCCTTTCTGTTCTTCCTCCACTGCTTGCTGGAGTTCTTTGATCTGCTGTTGGTACCTCTTGATGTTCTTCTGAGCTTCAGCGTTGGCCTTGTTAGCGTGGTCAAGAGCAATCTCCAGCTCATTGATGTCGCTCTCTAACTTTTTCTTCATGCGCAAGGCCTCAGCTTTGCCTCTGGATTCGGCTTCCAGACTGGCTTGCATGGAGTCAATGGCTCTCTGATGATTCTTCCTGTGATGATATAAGGGTGAAAATAACCTTTTATTTTTCACCATCAGACAATGTTACTGAGACCAGAAGAGAAACAAGAATTTATTGAATTACAACGAATACAAAAATAATAGTTTAACTTGGCCTGCAAACCTTGTGTTTTCAAATTCTTCCTCTTTGTCCTGAATCCTGCGGTCAATCTCCTGCCGGACCTGAGAAAGTTCGAGTTGGGCACGAAGCACCTTGTTCTCTTCCTGTTCCAAAGCAGCTTCAGCCTCTTCCAGAGCTGCCTGGAGTTCCTCCTTCTCCATCTCCAGCCTCTTCCTGGATTTCTCAAGCTCGTGAACGCTCCTTCCTCCCTCGCCAAGTTGGTCAACAAGGTCCTTGATTTCATCTGCATGAGAAAAACGTGTTTTAATAAAAACTATTCTACATATGCACAAAGAAAAAGGTTTAAGATGACGAAAAAAGACAGGTGTTCATCACCTTGCAAGTTCTTGTTCTCTCTCTTCACAGCCTCGTACTGTTCCTGACCCTCTTCATACGAAGCTCTCATCTTGAAGAGTTCCGTGGAGTAGTCTCTGCACTCCCTTTGGGAAGCATCCAACTCTGCAGAGAGATCGTCCACCTTCTGCTTCCACTCTGCTATCGTTTTGTCGAAGGACTTCTGTTTCTTCTCTAACGTGGCAGCTAGACTGTTAGCCTAAAATGATAGGTATCAAAATTGTCTAAATTTGGTACGCCATGAGCTCCATCTTTATGATAGATATTTTATTTTGTTGAATAATCAAAAATGGTACACAGATTGTGATTGGTTAAACCTAATAGGATTACTAACTAAAACATGACTTACTGTGGTGCTGATTGGTTAAAACTAATATGATTACTAACTGAAGCATGACCTACTGTGGTGCTGATTGGTTAAAACTAATATGATTACTAACTGAAACATGACTTACTGTGGTGCTGATTGGTTAAAACTAATATGATTACTAACTGAAACATGAGTTACTGTGGTGCTGATTGGTTAAAACTAATATGATTACTAACTGAAGCATGACCTACTGTGGTGCTGATAGGTTAAAACTAATATGATTATTAACTGAAACATGACTTACTGTGGTGCAGATTGGTTAAAACCAATATGATTACTAACTGAAACATGACCTACAGTGGCGCTGATTGGTCAAAACTAAGTAGGAGTTACTGATAAAGCTAACTTTCAAAGTGTTTCTAAAGTTTACCAATCTGTATATAAATACAGATATATCAGCATTTTTTTTTTTAAATGCTCATCAACGATACTTCATGAAACATCTGGCATAGCTGGGGGTTCGACCACACCTTGAAACATCTGGCATAGCTGGGGGTTCGACCACACCTTCAAGTTAGTAATGTATAAGTTACTAGGTTAGAAGGAAAATCAAGTTAATGTCAAACTCACCCTTTCAACCTCAATGGACATATCCTCAATCTCCCCTTGGAGGCGAGATTTGGCCTTCTCTAGACCACCACACTTTACGTTAAGTTGTTGGATATGCTCTTCAGCTTCTTGTAGCTTTGCTTGCAGTTTGTTTCTGTAAGATATGAACATATTTTGACTTTGTCAATACCTTAGCACAAAACTAAGAAATTTAACTTTGACCATGGCTAAACTAATAAACTATAAATATAACTAAAACTAAGAAATGAACACAATTTAACTTTGACCATGGCTAAACTAATAAACTATAAATATAACTAAAACTAAGAAATGAACACAATGTAACTTTGACCATGGCTAAACTAATAAACTATAAATATAACTAAAACTAAGAAATGAACACAATGTAACTTTGACCATGGCTAAACTAATAAACTATAAATATAACTAAAACTAAGAAATGAACACAATGTATTTAAACGACTGATCGATTTAATGGGGTGACTTGGTTATTTCATTTTTCCAAGTTCAATTAAATGGCTGATTGATTTAATGGGGTGACTTGGTTATTTCATTTTCCAAGTTCAATTACACGACTGATTGATTTAATGAAGTGACTTGGTTATTTCATTCTTCCAAGTTCAATTAAATGACTGATTGATTTAATGGGGTGACTTGGTTATTTCATTATTCCAAGTTCAATTAAATGACTGATTGATTTAATGAAGTGACTTGGTTATTTCATTCTTCCAAGTTCAGTTACACGACTGACTGATTTAATGGAGTGACTTGGTTATTTCATTATTCCAAGTTCAATTAAATGACTGATTGATTTAATGAAGTGACTTGGTTATTTCATTATTCCTAGTTCAATTAAATGACTGATTGATTTAATGGAGTGACTTGGTTATTTCATTCTTCCATCTCTATGAATGAGCTCATTATTTACTTAGAAAGACCAATCATATTCGGCGCCCGGATTGATTTAGAAAGAACGTAACAATTAAAAACTCACTTAGCATCCTCCAACTCCTCCACCCGAGCAAGACCTTCACTTTCAAACTTGTTTCTCCATTGTTGGACTTCGGCGTTAGCCTTACTCAACTGTCTCTGGAGATCGTTCTTGGACTCCTGCTCTTCTTCCAACTGCTCCTTAAGTCCGTCTAACTCGTGTTCCAGGTTCCTATATTTACCCAAAACTGCAGCACGTTCCTGAAAACAACAAAAGTCGATCATAACACCGAGTCTTCTATTGTCAATCTTACATCATGGAACATCTTCTAGACATCTTAGCTCTTTCTTGCGCTTCATATATATAGAGTGTTCCCAGAGCTACATTTCACCAAACATTTAGGTGGCTTTTAAAGAATTTCCCAAACATACCCTGCTTTCCTCGTCCGCTGTTCTCCTGGCCTCCTCCAGCTGGGTTTGGAGGGACATCTTAAGCTTGCTCAGCTGGTTAACCTGAGATTCTGATTCTTCGAGCTGCTTCTGGAGATCGCCACACTCAGCAATAAGTTTCTTCTTGTTTGAATCGAAATCTCCCAGAGATCGGTGGACTTCGTCCAGTTTGTGCTGGGCGTCCATGAGTTGGACTTCCAGCTGTTTTGTGTTCTTTTCGGAATTTGCCTGCATTCAATAAATATAATGTAAATCACCATAAGTGACAAAAAATAAAAAATCCATATGATCCCAAAAATATGTAAATAAACTCTTAACGTCATTGGTTAAAAATGCTTTCATTAGTCTAAAAGGCTTGAATAAATTAGTTGGTAAAATATTCTTACTTGTTTTAACGCCACCTATAACCAGTGTTATTTTAATTCAGTCGGTATGTGAATGGAATAATTATTATACGTAATCTCAATTTTATTATTACAATCATTTATAGTCCGTTTTTTTCTGAACAGCTTGAGATCACATCGATAAGCACAAATTTAGCAAGTGATCACAATGAACAAACACACCGAAAAAACAAGTGTCAAAAACGTGCTTATCCCATTAGAACACGGTTTGCCCAGAGTAAAATACGTGCCTATCCCATTATAACATGGTTTGTCCAGAGTAAAATACGTGCCTATCCCATTATAACATGGTTTGTCCAGAGTAAAACACGTGCCTATCCCATTAGAACATGGTTTGTCCAGAGTAAAACACGTGCCTATCACATTAGAACACGATTTGCCCAGAGTAAAACACGTGCCTATCCCATTAGAACACGATTTGCCCAGAGTAAAACACGTGCCTATCCCATTAGAACACGGTTTGCCCAGAGTAAAACACGTGCCTATCCCATTAGAACACGGTTTGTCCAGAGTAAAACACGTGCCTATCCCATTAGAACATGGTTTGTTTGTAACATTACTTACTAAGAACAAAACACATTGACCTTAATTTGTTACGTTACGTACTAAGAACAAAACACATTGACCTTAATTTGTAACATTACTTACTAAGAACAAAACACATTGACCTTAATTTGTAACATTACTTACTAATCGTTAAGTTTCATTTTACTTGTGTTTATTAAACCTATAACATCGTTAAGTTTGAATTTACTTGTGTTTATTAAACCTATAACATCGTTTTAAGTTTCATTTTACTTATGTCTTGTTTTGTTCAATAGGAATATGCTCTACATTAATAGAAACATGCTGACTGTAAACATTACAATCGAGTCTTGCTGGATATACTTTCAGGTTCTTTGTTGAAAGATTTCAGACTTTGTTACATGAATGATGTAGTAATTAGAAATATCACTTACAGCCTCTTCTATCTGCCTCTTGTACGTCTTGATCTTCTGCTGTAATTTGTCCACCAGGTCTTGCATACGCTCGTGGTTCTTGCGGTCTTCATCGCTCTGGAACTGGAGCTCCTTGATTCTGCGCTCTCCCTTCCTGGAATTCTTAGCAGCATCCGCATGGCGGCGCTGTTCGTTTTCAAGTTCGTTTTCTAGTTCACGCACCTACCGAATATGATCGATGAGTACAAGTGCTTTCAAATATTTTATATCAAAATGATCTTTTAACAATAAATAAATAAATACGTTATTCCTAAACTTCGGACCTTCTGTTCCAATTTCTGAATGATCTTTTAACAATAAATAAATACATTATTCCTAAACTTCGGACCTTCTGTTCCAACTTCTGAATGATCTTTTAACAATAAATAAATACATTATTCCTAAACTTCGGACCTTCTGTTCCAACTTCTGAATGATATTTTAACAATAAATAAATACATTATTGTTAAACTTTGGACCTTCTGTTCCAACTTCTGAATGATCTTTTAACAATAAATGAATAAATTATTCCTAAACTTCGGACCTTTTGTTCCAACTTCTGAATGATCTTCTTTCCGCCCTTGAGGGCAGAAGCCTCGGCCTCGTCCAGCCTGATCTGGAGGTCCTTCAGCTGAACTTCCATCGCTTTCCGCATCTTCTCTTGTTGCTGTCCATGTTCTTGTTCAGCTCTCAACTCGTCTGCTAGACGAGCAGCGTCCACCATGGCCTTCTTAGCTTTCTCTTCAGACTGTTTGGCCTCATTCAGCATCTCATCCAAATCGGTCTATCGAAAAGTCAATGTGTTTTGTTCTTAGTAAGTAATGTTACAAATTAAGGTCAATGTGATTTATTCTTAGTAAGTAATGTTACAAATTAAAGTCAATGTGTTTTGTTCTTAGTAAGTAATGTTACAAATTAAGGTCAATGTGATTTATTCTTAGTAAGTAATGTTACAAATTAAAGTCAATGTGTTTTGTTCTTAGTAAGTAACGTAACAAATTAAGGATTAATGTGTTTTGTTCTTAGTAATTAACGTAACAAATTAAGGTCAATGTGTTTTGTTCTTAGTAAGTAATGTTACAAATTAAAGTCAATGTGTTTTGTTCTTAGTAAGTAATGTTACAAATTAAAGTCAATGTGTTTTGTTCTTAGTCAGTAATGTTACAAATTAAAGTCAATGTGTTTTGTTCTTAGTAAGTAACGTAACAAATTAAAGTCAATGTGTTTTGTTCTTAGTAAGTAATGTTACAAATTAAGGTCAATGTGATTTGTTCTTAGTAAGTAATGTTACAAATTTTAGTCAATGTGTTTTGTTCTTAGTAAGTAATGTTAGAAATTAAAGTCAATGTGTTTTGTTCTTAGTAAGTAATGTTAGAAATTAAAGTCAATGTGCTTTGTTCTTAGTAAGTAATGTTACAAATTAAGGTCAATGTGTTTTGTTACATTTTACTTGTGTTTATTAAACCTATAACATCGTTAAGTTTCATTTTACTTGTGTTTATTAAACCTATAACATCGTCAAGTTTGAATTTATTTGTGTTTATTAAACCTATAACATCGTTAAGTTTCATTTTACTTGTGTTTATTAAACCTATAACATCGTTAAGTTTCATTTTACTTGTGTTCATTAAACCTATAACAGAGTTAAGTTTCATTTTACTTGTGTTTATTAAACCTATAACATCGTTAAGTTTAAGATTACTTGTGTTTATTAAACCTATAACATCGTTAAGTTTGAATTTACTTGTGTTTATTAAACCTATAACATCGTTAAGTTTCATTTTACTTGTGTTTATTAAACCTATAACAGCGTTAAGTTTCATTTTACCTGTGTTTATCAAACCTATAACATCGTTAAGTTTCATTTTACCTGTGTTTATCAAACCTATAACATCGTTAAGTTTCATTTTACTTGTGTTTATTAAACCTATAACATCGTTAAGTTTAAACCTATAACATCGTTAAGTTTCATTTTACTTGTGTTTATTAAACCTATAACAGCGTTAAGTTTCATTTTACTTGTGTTTATTAAACCTATAACATCGTTAAGCTTCATTTTACTTGTGTTTATTAAACCTATAACATCGTTAAGTTTCATTTTACTTGTGTTTATTAAACCTATAACATCGTTAAGTTTAAGTTTACTTGTGTTTATTAAACCAATAACATCGTTAAGTTTGAATTTACTTGTGTTTATTAAACCTATAACATAATAAACACAAGTAAAATGAAACTTAACGCTGTTATAGGTTTAATAAACACAAGTAAAATGAAACTTAACGATGTTATAGGTTTAATAAACACAAGTAAAATGAAATTTAACGATGTTATAGGTTTAATAAACACAAGTAAATTCAAACTTGACGATGTTATAGGTTTAATAAACACAAGTAAAATGAAGCTTAACGATGTTATAGGTTTAATAAACACAAGTAAAATGAAGCTTAA